TGCTCACTCAATCATATCCTCTTTGCATAGATCATGTAAGTGGTTTTGTTTGACAGCAGAACTAAGTGTTCCTGTAGTACAACACCCCTTACTGCTTAACATTTTGGCTACACAACAGCGGGTTGTATTCTTTGTAGTTTACTTATGCATTAAGTGTGGAGTGAAGTTTTCTTTCTGCTTTACAACATTGAATAAACCTAGCCTTAATATGGCTTTTTAATACTGATAAACAGAAAAAATGAAGATCGCTACAAACTTATTAATTATTGTGATTATGCATTACAAATACATATTCCCATAACTATTCACCACCTCCTAGTCTGTATTTAGTAGATGCATCTTTAGCAGAAATGACATGACGACAGCGGGAGTTTGGGTGGATTGTCCTGTATCAGCTTTGCACATCTGGAAACAGTGATTGCCCCCTCCCTCATTCATAGTGGATGAACACGCTTTTTTAATCCAGGTGCAAATTATGGATGGAAATGAGATGTAGAGTCTGATCTGACTTAGCTTAGCCACTCCAGGATATTAACATAGTTAACGATTTAAGAAGATTCCAAGGGATGTTCAGTGACTTCTAACCTTTTGCAAGGTTGCTCAACATGTCCCTTTGTCTTTGTGGTCTTGGTTTTGACTGCTAAAGCCAACTGACTGCACCTGTGTCCTGCTAAAGAAAAAGGAAACCTATGCAATTTTCATATTTATAATTCATTTATATGACTTACTTGACATTAAAGATTTTTTTTCCCTGTTGATCAGTATCAAAAAGCCACAGGAGCCCTACTTCAGTTCAGTGTTGCCAAACATAAAAACCTCTGGGGGGAGTGAGAACATTTAGAGGCATCATATTTTACAGCACAATTAGCAGCACAGTCTGTACAGTTTGCAAGAGCTGTGTCTCAGTCTCCTCCTATGTTTCCTTTCATGAGGAAACCAGAAGTTCATCTGCAGAGTAAAGTGCAGCAAAGCTCTGTTTCTTGTTTCTTGTGTTCAGAGGGTTTCATTTGAATGTTTCATTTCCCCCAAAGAGAAGAGAATCTTGTGTTATCAAGCCTTTGAACCAGAGTGGATCCTTTTAATGTCACCTTCACCATTCATATGCTATTAGATATGAGTTCAGCTAAAAGGTGAAGCCAGGCTAACACGGTGAGCACCCCCCCCCATCATATGTGTAAATCCACCCAGAGAGCAGGGCCCCTGCAGACGCAAGCAGTGACGGCTCACACCCAAATTGTCTTGTGATATGTAATGCTAAATGGACCAGATAAACATGCCTTTAAATGAATGGACAACCCCCACTCTTTCATCAAGCCTGTGGGTACCACACACACACACACACACACACACACACTACCCAGACTCATGCTGTTCAGGGCCCCACAACCTCAGAACAGAGCCCAGCTAATGGAAAGCTTTCAAGATGGCTGGGGAAAAATGTCTGCTCTCATTTGGCCTTGACCATTCTCTCATGTTCACTGCTGGTTGTGTGTGTGTCTGCTTTAGAATCACACACGCACAAACACCTTGGGACAAAAACGGGTCTGAAAACTGAAAACAACAACATGGTCCCCTCCCCCACACACACGCCTACACTGGCCTGCATGAATGTGTCCGATTCATTTGGCCTTAAAATATGGACTAAAATCACTTTGTAAAACCATGTATGAAAGTCTCTTTCTTCTTCATTGTTACTATCATTTAGCAGCAGCAGCAATATACTGAAGTTCTCTAAATGAGTTATACAGTGCATTGCTGACAACCACCGCAACATGAAACACAAAATAAAACCCAGTGATTCAGATGAAAGGAAGCCAGATTAAGTACAATCAGGCTAAAAGTGTGCTTTGAGAAGTGGGGTTTGTGGCCGTGCAGTGCTTTAATTGTTAGCAATAACATTTGAAAATCACTCTACCGTGAGCTGTCAGCTGACACAGCTGTAATAGGTCGAGTTTAGTTTCATCTGTAGCTTTTCTATGGCTTTTTAATTTAGGCAGTTGAAAAGTGCATTGTTGCAGTATCATTAAGAGGAGATGGAATGAAAGTCTCTCCACACACGTGTCCACCATGTCAGCTGCCTCATGTTATTATTTTCCTCTCATTTTGCTGCTTCTTCTTTGCTAAGTCATGAATAATTTGTGTCTACGCCTTGTTGCTTGATGACAGCTGTGCAGTTGGTTTGCAGTCTGTTTTTCAGATCAGGTGAATAATGAATAAGCCTCAGCAACAAAAGGGCTGTGTCCTTTGTGAGCCCTGCCTCTCCTGGTCTGTCCAGGCTTCACTGTGGGGGGGCGGGGGGCTGCCAGGTGAGCAGGGAGGTCTCTCTGATGCAGGAACTTTCCTAGGTGAAATGTGTGACATGAATACAGACGGTTTCATATCTTTGAATCTTAACTACTTCATTTTCTGTACTTGCACATGTTAATCAGTGCATTTTCTATGAAGCTTGATGCTCCCGGATTCTCTGTCATCTGTAACTCGTCAAACCTGTGTGAGATCTGCTGAGCACGGCATGAGAACAAATACCACATTATTATTACAATATACACAGCAGGTCTGCTTAGCCTCGGGGAAATAATCACATTTTGCTCTCTCTTCACAGTGTCCTCTCTGTCTCGTGAGAAGTACAACATATTAATCTGATCCTTCACCAGATGTTGCTGATTCTAGATACGGATGCTCCTCGGCTGTGACCTTTTGTTTTTGAAAGCTGTGGGGCACTGCATGTGATGTTTTAACCAGATTCTTTCCTTTGCATCAGGCTGCTTACCACAGTCGTGAATCAGGTGATGGGGTCTGGTTTCAAAAGCTGCTGCGACTTGCCAACTTGAGGTCACATCTCTCCTACAATGCTGTTTCATCTAAACTCTTCCACCCACTGCATCTAACTATAACACTCCCAATACATGTTTCATTTCAGATTGTGAATTAATGCAACTTATTTAAACTGTAGGAGCTACAAAAATCTAAATCAGCAGAGTCTCTGAAATCCCTTTTTTTATAATGTATGATTCATTTGAGTTTAATAATGAATCATGCAAAACCCAGACACTGAACTTTTTAATTGTGCAGCTGTTTGTCAAGAACCATTAATCCAGTGACTCTCTGTGTGCATTGTGCATGTGTGCACAGTTGTTTGTTGTGCATGCTTTTTGAGTGTGTGCACTTCAGGCCCAAGATGCAGGCCTAGATTTTAACCTCAGACTGCAGTGCTCTGATTACTCGGCCACTCCAATCGATCGTATTCTATTCATATTTGATATGCCTGGGGGCAGTGGGGTAATGCTTTAAAAAAAAAAAAAAAAAAAAGCACCTTATCTGTCACAAACGGTTGGTTTCTAAATCACAAGCTGCTGTTTTAAATGGGAAGCTCAGTTAGGGGAAAGGTCTGGAGTGGAGTTTGAGTCTCCTTGTTGTGTGCAGTGGTGACATGTCACACCTGAATTTAGTCACTAATAGTGTAGATAAAACCGGTGACCATGACTGGAGTGTATTGAGACCCAGACTTAAGGGCTGGAGACTGCACTGATAAGGCCTTGGTCTTGACTCTGTCTCCAGCCCTTAAGTCTGGGTCTTGTCTGGGTCTCACTACACCCCGGTCTTGGTCTTGACTACAGCACTAGCTGCTAGTGTTAAAGGGACTCACTGCAGCAGGAGGAAAATCCCCTGACATCAGCATCAGTCAGTCTTAATGGTGTGCACCCTTTTCAGATGGCAGCATTTGCCACTTAATTTCCTTTATAAACTGTAAATTTCCTGTTACATGACCCACTTTAACTTGTTTAATTTTAGAACTGGGGATATGAGGTCATTGCACAGGAGGTGTTTTTAAGACTAAATACCGTGACTGTGCCACGGTGCACCATTCAGTAAGGCTTGCTTTAAATGAGCTCAGCTTTGCCCATCCTGCTTTAGTCAGTTCATCCCGGGCTTTAAAATATTCAGTGTTTTCACAGGCCAGGCCTGGATGTCGTAAGATTTATAGGGAAGTGAAGCACAGAAAATCTTTGAGTCTGATTTCAGTCAATGTTGAGGGAGGGCGGCTGATTGTTCCCCGTTCTTCTCTGTTGTCTTGTTAGAAAAGATGACAGTGAAATGATTAATAAGTTATTGGGACGTGGTGGGTCAACTCACCTGACCAGTAGTTTTATCTATATAGTAGGAAGACGGTGATGGGTGTGATGTTATAACAGGAAGTTAATGGATTTGTTCTTGCATTTGAATGTTGACTGAATGGAAGTCACACTTCATCCTTTATGCTTACCACCACACTGTCACTGTCTAAAATAAAGATATGCTGCTAGTTTCTTTAATTTGCTGTCATTTCTTTGTCTTTTCTGCCCTGTGCTAGTAGGATGTTATATCACAGTTAAAGACTCCTGATCTGATGTCCCATAATCTACCCACTGACCCCAAATTAAATCACCTCTGCCTGTCACTCTTTCTACAATTCAAGACACTAAAGAAAAACCAATCCAGACGAAGCTCAGTACCAGCTCCTCTGAGGCCTGCAGCTGCTGCGTTTCCTTGTCTGCCAGCTTTCAGCCACAGCTCCTTTTGTTTTTTTAAATAACAGCCATGGGGGTAAAAGCGTTTGGTTAACGGTTAAATCTGCTCAGGCTGTTTAAGGTTCAAACACATGGCTACAGTGGTCAAAACAAACAGGAGCCTCCAGGCAATCACAATCACAATCACAGCAGCAAGGTGGTTCAGTGCTTTGCTTTTTGCTGGGCCATGCTTTCGTTATCTGCACACAGCACTGTGAAACCCACATGTGTCATTAGCTTGTGGTGGGTGGAAGATTCAAATAAAGCCACTAAATCAGCCACTGCTGCTTGTAATAGTGCTTAACAAGTGGCCTAGATGCCAGAGCCTGCAGTGTGTCAATAGAAGAGCTATTCTGGGGCCAATGAAACGTAAGGGAAATAACCAACACACGATTTGTGCTGGGACTGGCTCTGTTATTAACGCTCTGGGGAGTTTCCCCTATTTTTCGCTTGGAAAAGATTTTATTCCATTTGTTATTATAATAGAACAAGCAAAAAGTCACACCATCAAAAATAATTATGTTGTATTCTGACATTAAAATGTGCAAAATGGAAAGCCTTAAGGATAACAGCTTGGCGAGTAAGGCTCCTGTTTTTAAAATCACACAGTCCAGGAGGTGTTTTGCCAGCATTCCTCCCAGCTCAAAACAAAACGGCCCTGCTCTTTGGAGAAGCGCAGATTTCCATCTGTTCTTGGTGGATTAATTGTCAGTCCGGTTGTTGGAGTGTGATGACAAATATTTTGGGTTGAATCACCCTGAAGCTGCTTCCTATCGGACGTCCTTACAGTTCACAGCTTATCTCTGGTTTTCTGGGCCTTCGCAGAACGAAGGTGTGTTTAGTGTTCTCTCTCTAAAATCGCGTCTCATCCGTGAAATTTCACCGTTTTCTTTAATAAAACAATTGTTTTTAAAAAAGCTGTTCTTAGCTGATATTAAATATTTTCAATGCACCTTTACATTAGGTTTTTACAAATCTACAAGTGGATCGAAATGAATGTCAATCCAACAAATGTCGTTAAATTATTCGGAGAAAATGTCTGTTGTCTCCACAGATTTCCTGGCTCGTTTTAATAAGAGCTTGGCGACAGATTTGGCTTCACTTCAGTCCATGCTGCGTCTCTTTGTGTCTCCTCAGATCCACCTTTCTTTGGAAACCTTTGCCGCAGACGTGGCAGCCGAAAGGTTTGTATCCGGTGTGTTTCCTGCTGTGTGTGATGAGGTTGGAGCTTTGGCTGAACGCTTTGCCACACACCTGACATTTGTGTGGCTTCTCACCTAGAAAAGGAAAAGGGGCGTTTAGGGTTTTTTTACTGAGCCTTGGATACAATCTGGTTTTCACTTGAGGGAGATGTTGGCCTCTTGCGCACAGGTGTGCGGCTGACTACGCACAGACTCTCCTCGTCCCAACAACAACACTTACCTGTGTGGATGAACGTGTGTTTCTTCATGTCGGACTTCTGGTGGAACCTCTTCCCGCAGTACTGGCACGGGTACGGCCGAGTGTCGGAGTGGATGAGCAGATGCGTCGACAGGGTGGACGACCTTTTAAAACGTTTACCGCATATTTTGCAGTCGAAACTTCTTTCCTGAAACGTGCGCAGAGGCGGGTTTAGTCATGATTTCAAGTCAGCACACCCTTCCTGACAGGAAGGCAGGTTAAGAAAAAGATGCAGACCCAGAAAATGTGTGAATTGTAGGGTGCGGTGTAAAGTGTGTGAAGGTACCTGAGAGTGCACGGCTTTGTGTTGCTCCAGACTGACTGCGTGCCCGAAGGTTTTGGCGCAGATTTCGCACGCAAATGGCCTGGTGCCACTGTGCGATCTGCGGACGTGAACTTCCAAACCGTGCGGAGTAGAAAACACCTGATGGTCAAACAAGGGGAAAATGTATCAGTAATGTAAAGGAAGGAAGGACACTGTAATAAATTCATGTTGAAACTCAGTTAACTGATTTCAGTTGGAGATTCACGTTATCTCTCTTGACGAGATCAGAGGTAAGCCACAGGACAGAAACCCTTTTTGGTGTCTTACTTGTGCACACTTCAGCAGTGTGTGCCTGCTCAGGGTAACATTAACCATTTGGAATCATTTGATTTAAAAGCAACAACTCAGCGATTCCAAAACGTTTTTTTTTATCCCTACAAAGCTGAGACTGTGCAGCCATCTCTGTCCTCACCTTACTGCACTTGACACATTTGTAAGCACCGCTGAGGATGAGGCTGGAGCACAGCAGGTCAGAATGGGCCTTCACACTGTGTGTTTTTCCATGGAGTCCTCCTTCAGGAAACAGCAGAGCGGCATTGTGCCTCCTGTAGTCACTATAAGCCTCCTCTCCCAGAGGCCGGTCTGCAAACAGTGCAGAGTGGGAACTCCTGTCTCCATAAAAGGCCATCACAGCTGGGCCCCTGTCCCTCTCCATGCTAGGATGGAGGCCCTGCTGCATCAGAGGCCTCAGCCTGGGCCCCGGGTAGCCGCTCAAAGCATACGGCTGGAAGGGAACAGTGAAGGGCTGGGTCTCATTCAGCAGAGGAGACAGAGATTTCTCTGAATCAGCTGCGGAGGGGAACAGAAGACAGATGAAAATTTGATCAAGCAAGTGACACAACTAAAGGCAGGGCCCATTTCCAGGGCCCAGCAGGGCTGATAAAAGACAAAGTGCATTGATCTTTCCAAGAATTCCCAAATGATGAAACGGATTCAAACCAGGAATATCACTTGTAAAATATGGCTAAAGATATTTCTAGGCCCTGCGCATGTTTCTGTCCTTTTACACTTCCATATTTGATATGACAAAGAGTCAGGCCAAGTAGTAACAGAAGAATAGAATGTAACAGGCTCCAATAAAAGTCCACCACAGAGGCCCATATGTTCTATTGTGTAATTTATCCATATGTCACCTAACAAGTATATATTCCAAAATGACCTGAAAAATAAAATAGGCTATATAAGTAGATATACCAGTAAAAATGTAATAATCCTACAGCAGAAGGATGCCTTCTTAAGGTTTGCTTGTTTCCCCGTATAGTGGGGAAAATGATGTTGATCAGCGGCCCTGGCTCCCAAGTGATGTGTAGTCTGTGTGTGTTGTGTAGTGGTGTACCCGGTGATGCAGAGGGAGACGGAGGCCGCCAGAAGTCGTCGTAGTCCGGGGAGCGACCGCACACGCTGTCGGCGCAGCTCAGCGGAGACTGCGGGGAGAACTCGGCAGCATCGGCCAGGTGAGAGTCCGGAGAGAGCCCGTAGCTGTCGGTGTCATCTGGAAGCTTCTCTGCTTCTGAGAGGACACACACACACACACGCACAGATGCGGTCAGCATCTTCAAGAAAACTCAAAGAAAGTGTATATCAGCTGCACTGTCCCGCAGCGTGAGGCTGCTGCTGGAGAGTTTAAATCTGAATCACTTGGTTCGTCGTGCGCCGACACGCAAGGATTTTGACTTGTACACTACAGTGCTCTCACAGTCAGCAAGAAGGGTAAAAGAATATACAGAGTAAGATCAACTTTAAATAAAAATAATAGCACTTAATAAATGGATGAAAAAGAAAGAGCCAGTAGTTAGTCAGCGTGCACACTCACTGGATCTAAAAAGCCATTAAATGCTGGAGGCCACTGTCTGTTATGGTACCATGGATAGAACATAACATGATCATTAGGTATGGCATATTACTAAAAGATAAGGCCTCAACCTATAATGTAACATGGTAGAATAAAACACAGTGACTAGAAATATCACGCCGTTTATACACATCAGATTTCTTTCGTAATTATAAAATCTCATCATTAATATAAACATCAGAAATTCCACTTAAATTATTGTTTCAGCGGTTTTAGGCAAAAAGGGTCATATTCACTAAAGGGCACAGACGCTTTCAGTGTTAGTCATGCAGCTGTACTGTGTCTCCCAGTTGAATGAGACTGTAATCCTGTTTTGTTTTTTAGATTTGGTTAGGGAGAAAAAAAGTCTAACGTAGCGATACATTTACTCCATGATTATTCAGAGAAGGTGCATCATTTTGCACATACCTGAGCACATATGCGCCAGTATAGTGTCCAGCCTGCTGTAGTCATCCTCTGAAGTCCGGGGCTGGTGGTAAGTGTGCGCTTTCTTACTCTTCACCAAGAAGGAGCGGGGCATCTCGGATGTGAGAGCGGACAGATCAGTGACAGTTCTCCAGCTCCGTGGGCGCTGCTGCTGCTCGCTGTCCAAACCCTGCAAAGATTGGATCGGTAACTGCTGGGGACGTGCGAGTCCAAGTGCTTTATAAGAGAGGTCAACCTGATGGAGCATGCGCAGACAGTCCGTCTCGTCTGCCAGGTGTTGCGCGGACAGGTGTCCCTGCTGTCACTGTTTTCTGTTCACTGCGCTGCAAAAAATATCCGCCTGCAGCGCTTCAGTCAGCACGTCGTGCGGTTTCATGTAGAACAAGACTGCACAGCGGGGGCGACTTCTTGCCACGTCTCCTCAATACACATTCACTCATCTCAAGTCTTAATATTATGACGCACTGTCGCACCTTTGCCATACTTTCTTTTTTTCCAAGAAACAGCCGTGGAGTCAAGATCAGACCGTCAGTCAGAAACTAAGGGACTTTTCAGTGCAGACCTTTGTTCATCGCACCGCCTGGAGGTGCTGGGGTCAGGCTGCGGCTCGTGTCTCCAAAAGAGCCCTTGGCAATCGGGAGCAGTAGTACAGGTTTTATCAGCGCCCAACTCAGACCTTTGGAGGGAGTCATGGGGAGAGGAAACGCGGAGGCGCACCCCAGGGTGTCTACTGCTGAGAGCCTGCATGTATCACGTCGTGGTAAAATAAAGGGGTGGGGGAATATCTGAGCCGACGGTGCCTTAGTATACGTAATATAAATCATAGTCACTTATAAATACATTTTCACCAAGATTAAAATGTCACCTGTATGTTTGTCAGCAGTGTGTGTGGTCGGATTTTACCCAAAACACAAGTGGCTAAAATAATGGCCAGGTAGAATAGACTGATTCGGTTTGAGTCTTCATTAAAAGGCGCATGAACTGACTGACCCTTAATGGGGGTTCCAGGGCTCTGGTGCTGCTGTGATCCGGGCTGGTGGGCAGCTGACTATCATTATGGGGCAGGGCCGCCGTCCACTCGCCTGCGGTGACAGTTTCGCATGACCCTGGGCATTATGCTGAAAAGGAAGAAGCCCATGACAGACACAGTTCGTTTACTGTTCGCTCAGGACACAGATCACAGAGGCTAAGCGTCGTTACGCACCGAACTATAAGACAGAACATAGAGCCGTGCGTCCTGGTCCATTTTACCCACTGCCAAAGAAATGAATCAGGAAACTACAATATAATAGTGATGGATCGGATGTACAACTATCAGCACTCAATAGGAAACCAATCAAATATATTAAATTGAAACTGCATGTAAATATCGGGGAGCGTTGGTGCGTAAAACGTTTTGAGATTTAAGAGTTTCACCACACGATTCACCACACGAAATCAGATCTCGATTGACTAAAGTCGAATGTTACTTGCACCCTGGGTGAATTTTAACATTTTCTACACCTACATTTCCTTATCAGTGAATCAGCTCGTGTCAAATCTTCCACAACTGTGAAGATTTTCTCCACTACGACGCAAAACTGAAAACCGAGATTGGTTCAGGGAGACTTTCAGTCTGATCAGGCACCTTTAGTTAACACAGCCCATTCGGCCCCAGACAAACCAGCCATCAGTAAATAAAGGACCGGAAATCAAAGCGCCACATGGCCCGGCTCGATTACAAACATCTCGGCCGCGGCATCCGGACATCGTGTTGGTGAAGATATGAAGGCCGTGCTGCTGCCCGGAGTGCGCAGATAGGCCGACGGCTGCAGTTTCGTAACGCCCGCGTAACAGCCATCAATTGTGGCACAAAAGGCAAGAGTGAAGTACAACATACCTAATAATAATAATAATAATAATAATGATGATGTTTTCAGCATACCTGTAATTCCACAGATGCGTTTGAAGTACAACAGATTTGTGATCATGTGCGGCTGTTTTAGCGCCGCACAGATGCATTTATTTTCTTATTACTTCTCCACAATTTATTTCTTACTCGGGTAAAATTCAGCTTTAAAAACGCCTCTCCACGTAAAAACGCCATGTGATTCATTGCCTCCCACACAACACACAACACTACAGTCTGATTTTAACGCGCTCAGATGTGGTGGAGCCACCTTCCAACATGGACCAACATATATTTTAAACCAGGCCCAAGGCAGCAGTAACACGTACTGGATTAAACCAAGGGCGTTTTAAAGTTCTGCTTAAGTTTCTTTGGAAATCCAAACCTACTTATTTTGTACAAAACCGGACGTGTGTTTGTTCGTCAGGTACAAAAATAAGCTGCCCGTTTAAAATGTAAGAAAGTGTAACTGACTTTCATTGCGCCATGAAATGCACATTCAAACTATCAGGTAGCATCATCAATCACTGCAAAATACACTACAACTCTGAGCTGACAGCACTTTGGCCAGCACAGCTAGACTGCTCCAATGTCTAATGAAAAAAGAAAAATAACCCCCATCAACATTCTGCAATAACACAAACCTGGGAAATCTTTGTGTCCGAAGAGAAATGCTCTTTAAAAAATGTGGTTTTCTGCATGAAATGATTAGTAGTTGAGGCTCACTGTGAAAACCACGAGAAATCACTTCCTGAAACAGTCAATCTAAGCTTGAGGAAGGCAGAGCTGAGACTGAGCACAGTCATCTGCACACGTCGGTCTGGGCGAGAGGCCCGTCACAGGCCTGTCGCCCTCATAAACAGAGACATCAGACAACAGTATACCAAATAGTTTATTGTGAACTCACCTCTCACACACTAAACAAGCTCATGTAGTTTCCAGAGTGTGCTCACTGTTCCATCCTGACGTCACGAGTGTCCTTACTGCAGTGCAGACTCAAAAAGTGCCATAATGTGTTGCTTGCCCATCCAACACAGGGTTTTCTTTTCTGTTTCCTGGACTGAACCGTCTTTTACCGAATACAGGAGTTAGTGTTCAACAGTCAGTGGTAGTAACATCCAGGTCCTCGCACGTGGCAAGAGTGAAACAGGCCTGTGGACGAGCACAGTGCAAGGCTGCGCCACCAGCTCCACACTTGTGTCTGGATTGTGTTCTGAAGTGTACTGACGTTTGTGTTCTCTCATGGTTCAAGCTGTCGTCCATTGATGTGCAAATCTGTGATATGTAAAACATGAGATATTTTTTGCTGTGTGACTCGTGGGCTGCTTTCTGCAGGACTCATTTTGAAAGCAAAGCTGGGATGCTTTCAGAGAACTGAGTACATTAGCAACAGTAGTTAAATAAATCTGCCTCCTTCTTACTTATCATTCATGGTAACTGCTCTGAAAGCAGCTAGCTGTAGTACTGTAATGAGCAAAGATCAGTTCTTTTTACAGGAATTCACCTCAAAACCAGGATTTGTCATTTTTGAGCGTAGTGAAGTAACTTCTTTGTCCCTTTTTGTGGAACTGTACATTAGATATGCATATTCAAAAGGAACTGGAAAAAAATAGATAATACACATTTACATATATACAAGTATGCAGTTGTCACAGTGAGCCTGTGATACGCTGGCCCTGATGAAAGGCGTGTGACGTGCGCTGAAGCCAAGCAGTCCTGGTCACCTCAAGTCGGCGCTGGCTGATGCAGGCGGCTCTGACCAAGCTCACCAGGACGGCAGGTACAGATAGATGTGCACACACAGAGCACTCACACAATTCTGTCTCTGCACGATGGACACTTAGTAAACAACTTCAACACATGTTTGATGTTCATTTATAAAATGCTTTAAAAATCTAAAAACCCATTGGATGAACTGTGTTTTCTGACGTACAGCGTTCGATTGCACAGTCTCTGTGTTGTACTGACTGGCTGGCTGGCTGGCTGGCTGTCCTCTGGCCCCCGAAGGCCTCGATGTGCTCATATGATTTCATTCTGTGCTGAGCTCCAGACCGTTAGGTGTTTGCTGCCCTCGAGAAGAAAACAAAAACTACAAAGGGAGGTAAACAAAGAAAAACTAAATCCATAAATGGGATTCTCAGGATATGAAATGATGCTGCATTTCCTGTCTGAAATTCAGAACTCTAGATCCAGACTCCTCCTCTGAAATGGCTGCTGGAAACACCTGTGAGAGCTGATCGCCTGCGTCCCCCGCTCTGGCAGCCAGTGGGTGCTCGTCACACAGTGGTGGACTTGTGGCTACCACTCTGGGGTACAGAGAGCCGCAGGGCCTCCCCGTCCTCCTCCTCCTCCTCCTCCTCCTCCTCACTGTCCATGTCCCTGAGGTTGGGATGCAGTCTGATAGGGCCGCCCCTCCTCTTCTGGGTGTCCTGGAGGGTGGGGTGCTTGACTTCATCTTCATCTGAAGACTGGCAAGACTCATCATCCTCCACGTAGTGATTGATGATGTGGATCCCATCAAAAGTGGGCTGACTGCCCAAGCCCCTCTGGCCTTTTAAGCAGAAGATCTGTAAGTGTGAGGATGATAAGTGTTAGGAGCAATGCTTTTCTCCTGCATCCAGGAAAGAGCCAAACACTTATAATTTTGGAAGGAGAAAACAAAGACACATATGACGTGAACACACCGTTTACACACTGGCACAAATACAGTGAGATGTCTAACATGCAGGCAGCAGACCAAACCAAAATGGAACAATGGGATAAAATATGAACCGTGTCCCAAATTCCAAACTACATACCAGTAGCAGGGCCAGGTACCTAATCAAATTGTACTTTCGATTATGATTTTGGCTTCCAGCGACTATGAAAACTAAATAAGATAAAACAGTTATTGTGCCGCTCTGCATTCCGTTATGTTGGTCTCACTTTGTGGTGTTAAAAATCCAGCGCACCATTTCAGCACAGTGTGAGGTGTCCTCTGCGTTTCCATTTCTCAACTGTCATTAATTGGCCGTGTCATTAAATGGCAATACCAATGTATCTGCAATTAGCTCATACTAGCCAATAATACCGGTAGGGCCCTAGTTTCTACCCAACATTAGCTGGATGTTCTTCAATGAAAAGAAGGTTCGATAAAACTAAAAGGTACTGTTGTATGTAAGCTAGTTAGCCTTGTATGCAACATACATTTTACAACATTACCCTGCTAAATAAGCTCAGACCAGCTTGCTTCTGGCTAGCTAATGCTGTCAAAGTTAACTGGTGTTTGTACTGGACTCCATGGGAAGCTGTGGTCCTGAAGCCTCTCTGGTGTCTGCACAGTTACTGCTGCTACATGCACAATTCTTTGATGATTAAGACTGGCCACGGCGCTGTTTTTTAATTTCACTATTCATGTAATCTGAGTCGGAAACAGCCAAATCGCACCCCGTATTGACTGAATACAACACAGTGTGCTAGTCACCAAACTGGCTGATCCTGTGTTCTAAGGGACGGGTGACAACTGCACTAACGTGACTGTTAGCTAAGGACGCTGGCAAACTATACTGAACCAAGGGTAACTGTGACATAACTGTTAAGTCTGGTAACTAATGTCATCCTCAAAAATGACTACGATAAAAGTAATCACGCTGTTATGTTACTTATGCCTAATAATGATGACGTTTATCTGCTACACGCGTCATAAAATGTTTAAAAAAGTGATGTGAATAACATTTGCTGTGTGTTTTATGTGGGCTGTTCACAACACTGGACGTCACATCCATGGTGATAACTGAGGTAACAGAACTTCAGGGAAAGACATGGGCCATTACTAAAGGGAGGCTAATCTCTGGCTTTGTTCAACTCATTACTATTTAAAAATGATGAACATCTCAAAGATAAGTGCACTAATAGCGCACTAGCGTGCAGGGGGTGTTTTCTTTCTCCAGTAACCACAAGGGGGAGCAGTGAGGGCATTTTGGTCGCACTCTATCTAGCACAGGAGATTTACGTTGACTCTGATGTGTGTTCTGACAGGTGAAAAGACTGAAAAGCGTGATGACACTGGTTGATCTGGCCAATGTATGTCAGGTTAACTGGCGCACCGCTAATTTAAAGCAGCACACAGCCACTTCACTCATCGTTTCTATGGAAGCATCCAGGACTGCCTGTGATGCAGTGGGGCTAGGGTGAAGCCAAAGAGATGAGGGTCATCATGAGGTCAGGTTGCAACCACAGCACATCTGTGCCAACTCACCTGCATCAGCCTGCCACATGACAGACATGTAGGAAGAGATGCATTCAGACGCCAGTTCAGAGCATAGCACACAGTGAACAGAGTAACAAAAATGTGCCTACATCTACTTGGACCTGTCTAGACCTGGCAGTCTGCCTTCATGGTGTTCAGACTCAAAAAGCAAAGTGATCGCATCTGCATGTGAATCTGCGTTTCCAGCAATATGCTGCATGTTTGAACTCATGAGGAAGAACCAAGTGAGAGGGGAAATGACTGACTGCACCGCCTTGATATAGAGTCAGAAGAAGCCAATATATGTAGCTAAGTTTAACCACAGTTCAAACTGTTGGTACAGTGGTTTGTTCTTGTTCAGGAACAAAAACAAGAAGCTCTATCTGCAGTTTTAAACATGTAAAACCATTTTTAACAATTAAGTCAATGAGAGTAAATGCATCATTAGGAAGCAGTTCTTCACCCTATCACACCTTCTTGCATAGTTCACGTAGGACTAACCAAGAATAACAGAGGTCTAAGGTTATTAGATTAAGGGGGGGATGGTGTCAGTTCAATACATCAGTAATGGCACTTTGATATTTTATCATCAAATCGTCAGGTTTATTTGATGTTTTTTTGTTCTAAATGCACAGGCACCATTATTATTTGTTGGCTCTACACGTGATAAGCTTGGTGAAACGCGTAGAACCATCTGCAGGTTATGTTTGCGAACATCTTTACAAGACGTGCAATGCCAAATCCACACAGGAAGTCTCTGGGTGTAGTTAACACTTCTACTAATCTCTGTTAGCTTCAAAGTAAAACTATATCTGAGGGAATGTTGTGAAATCTTCTGAAATGCTAGATCAGAGATCAACAACAAAATCTGAATCTCTGCAAGGTAAAGGAAAGAGCTGCAGAATAAGCTAGTACGATCAGCAATGGACGTGATGCTTGTTGCACGGGCCTCACCTCATGTTTTAGCTCGGTTATCTGGTCTTTGAGGTCGCGGATGTACTGGCTGGAGTCTGTGTGGTTCAGCTGCCCCTGGACCTTTCCTTCTTCTTTCTGTTGGTGAAAGAAACAAGTTTTTTTTTGTTTTTTTACAATATCTACAGATACAGGTGGCGTTCATGTAAACACCTTGGCAGAGACAAGCGGATCAGATTGGCACTAC